CTATATGAATTGAGCATAATTTAATACAGATATTTCAAAAAATATATGAGGATGCAGATCTTAGACGAAAAATATAGTTCAAATGAAACTACATCTTATCCAGTGCTTCATTAATCTGCTGCTTAATATTTGTTTCAGCAATGGATGTTCAGTTTCACTGAATAGTATTCAATATAATTTAAGAAAATTATCACTATTCATTGGGGTAACAATTCGTACATATTTTGGAAAGGCATACACAACAACCTCAAGCAGTTGATATTTATTCCTTCAAAAGATAGACAGGCTATCAGGAACTGATGCCACAGGAAATTCAGCTTTACAAAAAGATATTCCTTGCTAGATAGACTAGCAGAAGACAAGCATTTGGAATTGTCAGATTTATTTAACTTGAAATTCTTTCTGTGGAAATATCCTAAATGTTATAGAAACCGTGTTATAGAAACCCAACCTGCTGATGATTATAGGAGGAAATTATACGAGTAGCAGCATATTTTATTTTCCAAATTATTGTTTGTAAATTGAAAATAATAAATTACCTCCGATTCACAATCGTTTCATGTTCTAACGATATCAGCTACAACTTTCAGTTCAATCGGGTAATTTACTCTACACTAGGTTCGACTACCTTTAAAGGCCGAGTATAATCCTTAATTTACAGGGTCTTAGTGAAAACAGGTCAATGAATTAATGATTATTACATAGCAACTACTGAGGGAATGAGAATGATGAATTTATAAGATCAAATTTAGCTGATGGGTGTTATTCAATGTTGATCGTTCATTAGATATTGGCTTGTCTTTATAAATTCTTGGACAGTTTCCTAGTGACTATCTTTTGATAGACCGTCTTTTTTTTCAGTGATTTTTCAATGTTCCATTTGCAATGAAATATTTCAACGCTTGCCATTATTGATAATACACCAACAATCAAGCTGTGATAAAACAACAAAAATCAAATGTTATAAGTAAAAGGAAGGTCACCAACATCTTGTGGATCATATAGTTGCGGAACATGAAAGCAAGATAAAACAGACAAAATCAAAAACAACGTTTGTCTAGAAACATTGAAATTTTCTTCACTTCAGTTGAACAATTATAAAAATTTTGATTAATGAACTTTTGAACGAATATATTATTTTTCACAAGGTTTCATATTTTAATCAATATCAATTTCGCTCTTTATCAATCCATCAACTACACTTCCTAGGGGTGTAAAAATATAACTACCAATATCAATTGGATTTAAGACTGGATTATAGAAATGCTACTGCTCTGACTGAAATAAGCGATGTTGCCTACAAAAATATTGATAAAGAGAATAACACTGCAGTGGTTTTGCTCGACTTCTCCAAAGAAAACGAAATCCAGGAAATACATTTCATTGAATCTCTCCCGATCAACTGAAAACTCGCTTCATCACCAGTTGATTCATCGCAGGGTTCCGTACTTAGCTCTCTATAATGTTCTACATTAATAAAATGTTGAAATCATTTGATTGCAAGTTATATGCATATTTTGGGTTTCAAGCATGAGCATCTTGTCTCTGCAGAAAATCAGATTAGGAAAATAACCTTTCTTTCAATACAGCCTCGAACAGAATCCATTTGAGTTTGAAATTATATGTACTGAAACTAGTAAGTACTTATGATGCACTGTTTGGAACCTTTGGTGTAGTAATGAATATTACTGGAGTTTTATCCCAACACCAAATTGTTGTTTTCAACACCTTTTAATCTTTTTTTTAATCTTCCTCTTTGAAGATGATCACTTGGTGACCGAAACACGTGTCGAGGTGTTAAAAATAACGATTTGGTGTTGGGAAAAAAACTCCAGTAATATTCTTTAACTAGTAAGTATGTTACTCACCTCTTTTGGTGAACAAAATTCATTGTAACTCATGACAGTCTTCTGAGCAGAGCATATTCTTCTACTCTATCTTTCTCTCTCTCTCTCTCTCTCATTGTTTTTTTCAACCTATTATGATGTTAATGAATAAAGTTTAGACAAGACTTGTGAAATATCGTTCAGAAGGAACAAAAGATGTTCTTTAAATTCGTATATTAGTTGAGGATGTACGAATAAATATCTAAAACGTTGACATGTCTGAATATGGAAAACAGTTAGAAACTGCAGTTTACCTTATTCGTACATAACAGTATCTATTCATAACAAATGTACTATGAATCTTCAATGAATTTCGTTTTACAGGTAGTGCATTTTATTGTTGCAACTGCGGAAAACGCTACTCTCAAAAGTATAACCTGAGTAGGCATATAAAATATGAATGTGGAAAAGAAAAGCTGAATAGCTGCACTCTTTGCAACTATAAATGTTATAGAAACAATGTACTTAGATTCCATTACATTGCTAAACATGGAACAAGTTATGCCCCAGAATGGAATTAATATTAGAAGAATATATTGAATGTCTTCGAAAATGTAATTGAGAAGTTTGTTTGAGTTTGTAAAATAAATAGTCTATAACTGTATGGGAATGTGAAAACATTGAATTGAAAAAAAAATGAATACGAAATTTCATTGATCCAACACCAGACAGCGCTGTTTATTAGACTCAACATAGTTTATCAACAGTGGTCCTAGGCCGAACCATGATTGCATTAATGGACCCGACTGTTCAGGACAAGCCAGAGTAGTGTGTAACATTCAATTTTTCCACTTTTCATTTTACATTGTTTGCGACACACTCTGAACACAAAGAAACCTTTTCTGCCGGTTTAAATTTGAAGATTGTAACATACCACTTATATAAATTTTTACTTTCTATTTTCACAGATCTGGAATTCTGAGTCTACAGTAGCACTTTAAATAAATCATAATGAGAATGCTGACACCCATTGTTTATTTTGATTATTTTTATTCATTTTATGGTTGGTTAGGTATACAAACAGAAGTCAACTAGTTATTTCCTCCTGTAGTTCAGTCATAGACTTTATTTTATGAGTGTAATATAACGTAGAGTGCGATATGAGGTACAGATAGAGAGATATCTACTTTTATTAATGTCATACTCAGAATCGGTGGGATTTGTGTATATGAATAATTTAACAGGTGGTAAAACCGATACCGATTGCGTGTGTGAAGAATGGTATTTTGAGAGGTTCTTTTCTGTGCCTGGATTGTGGTCCGATGAAGCTGCTTGCAGCACACTCCTTTGCAAGGGAGTCAGCAGCCTCATTGCCTTCCAGGCCAGTATAGCCAGGAATCCAGACCAGAGACAATCTGTTAAGTCTTCCTTTCGTCTTCCTTTCAATAGCGTAAATTTCCGCTCGAAATACAGTCGCATAGATTCCTAGGCAGGCAGATATCTCTGTCCTGGGTCTGCGACTAAAAACACCGGCACCAGAACCTGAAGGTGTTTTTGATCCATCTGTGAACCAACAACTATCTGCTCTTAATATTTCCTTCTCTCGGAAGATCCAGTCCTCTCTAATCGGGAACAGAACTTCATAAGGCAGTTTGTAGTTGGCAATTGGAGGCATAGAGTCAGATGTCATTTCCAGAATGCTGTGACTTCCAGTATCAACCAACAGTCTGTTGCACTCTGCATTAAATTGATTTGTGCAATTGGCCATGTGCACAAGTCTGTATGCAGTCCATCTAGCCTCTCTCTCCAGAAAAATGTAGAGAGAAGGTAGACCTAGAAGGATCTCCATGGTCGCTGATGGTGTGGTACTGATGGCCAGACAAGTCTGTCTCTGTCAGCCAGAGAGCTTCGCCTGGGTCGTTTTCTGTAAAGCCTTTGACCACCAGGCAATTGCACCATAAGTGATCATTGGTCTGACAATCATCACATAAATCCAATGGATTTGTTTGGGACCTAAACCCCAAGTTTTACCACAAATCCTTTGACATGTCCATAGAGATAGTCTGGATTTGTGTAAAACTTTTTCCAAGTGAGCGTTCCAAGTGAGTTTTTTATCAAGGATGACGCCAAGATATTTCACCTCCGTTCCAAATGGAATGACCTAACCATTGAGGAAATGTGCCGTTAGATAGTCCAATTTCCTTCTCCTGGTGAAGGGGATTATCACAGTTCTGCTGGGGTTGACAGATATCTGTTCCCTTAGGCACCAACTGTGAACAACGTCCAACGTGCTTTGGAGTATATTACAAGCTATCCTTCCCGTCGTGGACCTTGCCAAGATGACAAGTCATCTGCATAAGCTTGCAGATCTACTTTTTTTCTGTCGAGGGCATCAAACAGACTATCCATCAGGAGCGACCACAAAAGGGAAAATAGTACCCCACCTTGAAGGTAGCCCTTGGTGACCCTGAACCTAATGACCTCGCCTTGAAGAGTCGTAGTTGCAGTTCTGTTTACCAGCATGGCATAGATAAAGCCAGTTATGGACGATTCTAAACCTTTCATAGCCTTGAATGAATGGGTACGTGAACAAACAAAATCATCGAATTTATGAAGATACCAATCCGCCTGAGATCCAGGAGCGAACAATGCATCCTGAAAAACGACGTTGGCCAGGTCGTTACTCTCAACGGCGAACATTATATAATTGGGGAGCCCTATTATATTAAGGGTAACGAAAAATATATGATCTGACGACTTCCGCAAGCCGAAATGACAAAAATTCGTCTATAAAATTTAATGCGTGCAGCTGTGTGACACCTATATTTCCCTCTCCGAGTTTTTATTCCACTATTCTCTATTTACTTCTATTACTCTCTCACTTCTTTCCCACTCTGAATTTTGTTGCCATGACGCCATCACAGCTGATCACAGAGACTCGTTCGTTATGAAGATGATGATTAATTAATCAATTATCAACCAAATCTCCACTATGTTAAGAACACCCAAGGACACGATACGCAATAAAGCACAGGGCATATATGAAATACCATGTTCTAACTGCCCCAAAAACTTACATCGGCCTCCAACAGAGCCTATGAACATGAACTAGCATCATCTCTCTTCGAACACCACCAGGAAACAGGCCACACAATAAGCTTCGAAAACACCAAGACCAATGCTACGGAGAAAAATCTTCAGGCCAGGATAATTCGGGAAGGAATCGAAATTGAAAAACGTCCCAACTGCCTTAACAAGCGAGATGTTTCGCAGAGACTACCACAAACATGGAGGACGTTGTTGTCACGCAAGATACCTGAAAATAACTCAGGTACCCGGTCAGGCAGACCGGGTACCTGACTCATGTAAGTGATTCTTGAAAATGGCTCAAAAGCAGGAACCGAAACGTCGAAACAATGAAAATTACAGACACTGTTCAACCCGGACAACAGTGTGAACATGTAAAATGTTGAATAATAAATATCGAGATAAAAAATATGAACTTCAAGGATTTCAAAATACTCGAATATACAGTTTCTAAGTGCACTTAGGATAACATGAGTATCTAAAATTTCTTTCAATTATCGACCGTATATAATGACGAGCCGGTTGTTTTATTAATAGTTTTGAATCTTTTTTGAATCTAAATGATGACTTTTCGTTTTGCAGTGTTTCTGGAAGAAGATTAAATACTTTTGGTGCTTAATATTGATAGCAGTTTTGGCCTGTTGATTTCGAAGCGAAAGGTACTAAATAATATTTTTTTTGGTCTCGTAGTAAAGGCATGCGAAGGTTTAATCAGTTCGGTCTCATTGAAGAACTGAGTTGTAGCGATGTGGTGAGAGAATATTTGTCTGATATCAAAAATGTCAGACTCTTCATAGAGAGCATCACTCGCGTATGTGTTGTTTTTGAAAAGTATTATTCTTAGGAATCGTTTTTGCGTTACTTCAAGTAGCTTCAAATAGGTTGTCTAAACTCTTCACAAAAATGTGTAGATATGCGAAACAACTACTTTCTTGTGAACATTAAATTATACGAAAAAAACAAATTCTGTGTGATATCAAATATACATTCAGAAGAATTCTGTTATTGCTTTCGTCGAAAAAACAGTGTTATATTTCCATCGATATAAAAACTTCGTGTTCCCTTCATTATCAATCAATCGATATTGATTGAGTTTATTTTTTTAGGATACACTTGCTCAGTATGTGGAAAGAGGTACAAACAAAATTGTTCACTTTGGAGGCATACAAAGTACGAATGTCAGAAAAAGCCAACATTCAAATGTTTTTACTGCCCATATATGTCCAAACAAAAATCGCCAATGGTCAATCACATGATGATCAAACACAATCATAAGGACCCGAAACATTTTCGATAAACTGTAACTCTTCTTCCTTTATAATGAAAAATCGTTACTTTTGTTGATGTTATACATATTGAGAATTTACTTGTGTTTTGAAAGTTATATTTCAGAGTCTTTTTCTTCTGAAACAGAAAATAAATTGATATTCAAGAAATTACAGATTGTCTTTTTTTTCAAACTGTGCGAGAGGTAACTCCTCTTGAGATAAATTTATGGTCTTGTAATTTTGAATTTTTAAACATTTTCAAAATCTATTTTTTTGCTACTTTATGATTTACAGATTTACTCTTAATTTTTACTCGGGTGGAATTAGCCAGAATACTACTGTGAGTAAATAATTTTGGTTCCTTCCATTGAAAATTCTTTAACCAATTTGTCATCAATAGGAAATATAAAGAAGACGAAAAACTGGGCCGGTGAAATTTGAACTAATCATAAAAAAAATTAAAAATTTGTTATGAATGAAAGATAAAACTGAAGCCTCTGGTGAAGAATAATTCCAAAACAAGCACTTTTCTCAATCGCCAGAAATGCAATACCTTTCTTGACGCGCGTTACATCAAACGAGTTAGCGTCACCAGAAGATGAAGAAAACTTCATCTCCTGAAGACTCATTTTTAGTCATTGGAAAAAGTGTTTGTTTTGGAAGAATTTGCTAGTGAAGAAAAAACTGAAGTTCAAACAAAAAAGTTACTGTCTGATATGAAGTATTGAAGAGTGCATTTGAGAAGTAAAATTTCTCATTCGAAAATTAATGATAAAATGAAATTCAAATACTTAACTTTCTTTAAGATATTTTAGGTTTGGAAAAAAACACGATTTGTTGTCAAAACCTAAAAAAATTATTGGTAAAACACACCCCGATTGAAAATAGGATTTTCATCAACATTTTTATAGGTTTTAAGAATTGAAAGAAATACAACTCTTCAAAATGTAAACCATCTTGAAGATAAATTACATTTCAAAATCATTAATTTGTTGCTAAATTCAATGAATACAAGTTACTGACTAGTTAAATTTTTTTGGAATTATTATTGATTCTCTGTTGATTCTCTGACGATTCTACTTCGTCAATTTTTCAGGTTATGAAAGTTTCAAAACTCAGAAGAGTAGCAAAAAAAATTCAATACAAATAATATACTTTTGAATATGTAATTCGGTGATTATCCATCAAAAAATTAATTCAGTGTCTTCAGAGTGCAGTCTAATATACCTAATTTACAACACCATTTGAATTATTTTACTAATATCCAGTTTTTCAGTAACCACTTTTACAAAACTTTTTAAGTCCACTACAATTTATTGAATTTTTCACCACTCTTTGAACAAAGTTATATTTCAGTCTGAAAAGAGAAGGCATCATGCTCTTCTTTCACCATTTCATAATACACATCATATAAAGGAAAATTATACAGGAAGATTAATTATTATTTATCATATAATGAAAAGTATACGAGAGCTTTTAAAAAAATACCAACTTCTCTAGGTATTGAAAAGAATTGATAAAAAAACTCTTATTCTTTTTGTGAAACATTTCATGGGAAGTATGAAAATACCTATAACTTCAAGTATTCCCTTTTGGAAATCACAGAAACTTTTAAATTCTTGATGATCTGTATCTGTAGAGTAGAGAGGGTGAATGTAGACCCACAGCACTTGAGCCACGTGATCCATTGTACATCCTCCCGAGGAGTTGTCCTCCTAGGTCATCGTCCATTCTGTCCTTTCCAAGAAGGTGGACAGGTCACTATATATCGGCCACCTTTATATCGGCAGGTGAAGGCCATGACTCGCCTAACACACACTCTCTTTGGCAACCTTGAGGTGTCTCACGGTAGCCTTCGTGAAGGTTTTGGAAGGTGCAGCGTCATTACTGTTGTTGCGCGGCTTCTTTAACCTTCTTGAGGTTCCCTCCGTGGAGGTGCTTAAGTAAAGGTGCTTTCCTGCAGGGGCAGCCGGTTCCTTGCCTTTATTCAAGGCAGGGCCTATCGCAGGAAGTGCCCTTGCTGTTGGAGGTGAAGTGAGGGAAAAGGAGGGTGCACTTATAGTTGCTACCACTCCTGTCTCTTTCACTCTTTTTCACTTTTTGGCCTAGGCGCCGCAAATGCGCTTACTCCTTGACCTTTGTATTATACCACGAGGTGATCTGCCATGTACAGCAGCCTCATTTCGAGCGGTAGATTGGGGTGGACATTTCTGTTCATCTCAAGCCACCGCCATAGATTGTTTTTTTGTGTCTGTTTTTGTATTCCTTCCATTCATGTGTGTTCTCACGAGTAGCAGGGGATGAGTTGGTGGTCACTCTGGCAGAGCCCCGCATTACCAAAGGAAGGCTGATTACAATGAGGTTTCGACCGGTTCCCCAAGGGGATCGTTCGTAACCGCATATCACCCTTCGGCCATTCAGCTATCGGCATGACTCCTTACACCTTAGCTCGGGTAGGCTGGTCCACGGTGGCATGTTTCGCAAAGGCTTTTGGGGAGGTACGGTTCCCCTCACCCTACTTATTTCTGCCACTGACCAGGTGTCCGGCGACCCCGTCTGTCAGGCCAAATTGGCTTCTCAGACAGGGCTCGCAGTCCCTTATGCACCACCTGGGGACGCGCCTGATAGGTAGCCCAACCCACGGGATTCTTGATGATATGAGACCTTTTTAAAATACCTATGTATGTCCGAAACGAGGTACATTTTTAAGTTTGAAGATCCTATTAATGCAATTATGTATGGAGTATAACATATTTTAAATGTTCCATGGTTTCTCTGGGTGGAGCGCATCCGAACAGTCTAATTTTCCATGACTTTGGCACATAAATCAGGCGATGTGACTTAAAAAAACCCCACAAGAAAAATTCTAAAGGTGTTAAATCGCACGATCTCGATGGTTAGTTCACATCACCTCCACATGATATGACCATGCCCTCAAATCACTCGTGGAAATTATTCAATGTGACATGAGCTGTGTGGCATGTAGCACCTTCCTGTTGAAACCACATGTCACTGGTATCCAGATCATCCAATTCAGGCCAAAAAAAGTTGTTATCATCGACTCATCGTCGATGTTTGTAACCATTCATCTAGAAATGGGCCTCATCGCTGAAGATGATTCTTCGATGAAAATTAGGGTCGGTTGTCAACTGGTCCAGAGCCCGTTTAGCGACCACACATCGTTTTCTATGGTCATTTACCTTCAGTTCATATGTCGGTTGAATTTTGTTCAGGTGCAGGTCCAAATCACGACGCAAAATTCGCCAAGTTGTGGTCTGCTAGGAGCCGAGTTCTTATCAGCGACGCGAAATTGACTGCCTTGGATTTTGGATTATTCTGCACACTCTCACAGACAGCGGCGATGTTTTCGTCAGATCTTTGTTTCGTCGACGTACGGGTGTTGGTCGATCGTTTACTGAACCAGTGGACTCAAATTGATCCACCACATTGCAAATAGTCCTCTCAGTGGGACAATTATGGCGACCATGATATGCGTAAAATGTAAAAATGTTAAAAGTAAAAACAAAAGTATTGTGCTCTTACACAAGAAGTTCTAGATTCTAGATAATTATACAAATACCAAAATTCTACATTTCGAACTAGATTCAAATAATAGGCTATTTCTGGAGATGGCTCAAACTACTACTATTACTGCTAAAAAAAACCTGAATATATTCTGTAATATTAAAATACATCGATAATCAAAATTTTTAAAAAAGTATTCACACATGTTCATTGTCAAAAAATGTATATATCATAAATTCTTTCAAAATCGATAATACTGAAGGAAATATCCAAGTAAATTTACAGCAATGAAAGTTTTAATAGCTTTAACAGTTTAACAGTTTTAACAGCAGTTTTAACAACTGCTTTACAAACTCAATAAACTTGTGATCCAGACAGTGCTGTCTCGACTAATCTGTCTTAAAAAAATAAGCCTGAAAGTAATGGCGACATGTTCCTCTAGGTCTTGCCTAGCCTCAGTTATCCTTGGTATTCGTGGAGTAGTTCTTCTGTCGATACCATAAATATTTGAATCCAATATACCTTAACGTTGAAAGGTAAAACTGGAACCTCTGGCACAGAATAAATCCAAAACAAACGCTTTTAGCAATCATCAGAAATGCAATACTCTGTGAAATGCGTGTCGATAAGAGTATGGCAGTTCTGGTGATTGAGAAAAGTGCTATCGTAACTATCGGTAGGTAAAAACATTGTATTGCAAGGTAATGCGCTCAAATTCGAATACTACTACTGAATTTATGATTTTGTAGTTGATCGTCAAGGACCCTATCAGTGTGGAATATGTGGAAAAATGTACACTTTCAGAAGTACATTGTTACGACATATGAGGCTGGAGTGCCAGAAGTTTCCTGGCTTCAAATGTGATTACTGTAACCATTCAACGAAGCGAAAAGATAATTTGAAAGTACATATGAAGAACCTTCATGGAGTATAGTGAATCAGGTGAAACCTCAAATAACGATTTCAAATCGAAACCAAATCTTGCTCCAAGAATCCCAATCCAGTACTTGTTTTCTCCAGTAGTTTGCCAGAAACATCAGGATACCTATTATAAACAAAATAGATTATAATAAAATTTGTAATATACGATGAGAAACATATGAATTTGGAAATGAAATATATGTTATTTCGAAGTATTTTTAGCATATATTTATTTATTCATTTCACACTAACAGACCTGGTGGCCTCATCACAAGGATTACTTATAAGAAATATTAAGTGCTTTTTTTATGTCCCCCCCCCCGTTTCATTTTTTGAACGGGTTAACTCAAAAAATTAAAAATTGGGATAATGAAATTAATGCACGAACACTCTATTCTGAAGTGAAATTGACAGATGAAATTTTCAAGATGGCGACTGGGCACCACCTGGGAAAAAAATTAAATAGAAGAGGGGTCTTCTAACACATCTTTTTGAAGCTCCTGACAAATGCTTCACAACTCTAGAATATAATGTCAATATCTTCAACTACTACAAAATTGCGGAACTTTGAATAATTGCCTGAATACATTGACATTTAACTACATAATATGAGGTAATAAGCTTGAGGTCAGTTCATAAGATGCTCGAAATGGTTGCCTTGAACTTCTTGACATATGAACAGCCTATCCGATATTTTACTCCGAACATTTTCGAACACAGTAACGTC